TGTAGAGTAGGTCACAGTGCAGGGGAGGTTTGTGCGGAGGTAAAGGAGAAAGCCATTGCATTGTCTGGAGAGAGTTAGAGTTAGGGACCTTCATGGGGGCAAGGGCACTGGGAATGAAAGAGAAGGAACTCAGGGAGGGAGAGGTCTCCCAAAGGGCACCTCTTCTCCCAGTTGGCTGTTGCCTACCTCCTCTGCTTTCCTTAAAACTCAATCCTAATTCCTTTCTCATCTCCTCTCCTCTTTCATCTGAGGCAACCCTTCCACTGGTGTGCTGATCCATCGCTTCCTCTCCTTTATGGGCTTCCCAGAAAGTGGTTCCTCTCTTCTCGCATCTTCATGCTCTGTCTCCACAGACTCTTTCCGGCCTACACACATGCCCAGATCGCTCTCCCTCTGAAAGAATTCTCTTGTGCTTTGTTCTATTCATTTTTTTAAAAAATATATATTTTATTGATTTTTTTACAGAGAGGAAGGGAGAGGGATAGAGAGTTAGAAACATCGATGAGAGAGAAACATCCATCAGCTGCCTCCTGCACACCCCCTACTGGGGATGTGCCCGCAACCAAGGTCCATGCCCTTGACTGGAATCAAACCTTTGTTCTATTCTTAAGCAACACTTCAACTTCTCTCCTACCTTATGCTTCCAGACTTCTCAAGGAAGGAACTAACTCAAAGATGGACTTCACAGCCTTCCCCACATTTACACCTCAGAATTCTGAAATTGAACTCCCACCCCAACAAAAACACTGCAGAGTTACCAATGACCTCTTCTTTGGCAAGTCCAAATCTCTCAGTGTTCTACCATTTAAATGCTGTTGAGTGACACGCCAATTCCCCAGTTCCCACCACCTTCTGTACCTGACTCTGGAAACAAGTGTTCCAATTCTCCCTTTTCCCTAACTCTTCCTTCCCACCCTCTTTAATGACTGTGGACCTGCAAACAGAGCTGCTTTTCATTGTTGTGTCCTCATCACTCTACTATACCAGGAGTGAGCAATCTTTTCTTGCATGAGGATAAAGAGGAAGAATAAATATATAGCTTAAAAATTCATCCATATCTTTATTTATTTATAATATATTTAATAGAATAATAATCAGAAAAGTCTATCATTGAATCCCTAATTAATTTAAAACATGAAACCTTGACAAACATCTACACTGTATTAAAAATGCAAATAGAATCTATAGAAAGAAGATGACAGTAATGCTCCAGATGGGGAATACATGGAACTTTTAACGCATTCACTCAATCTGCCCCTTTGAGGCATCACTCCGGGAATGTTCTAAGTGCTGGGAATTCAGCAAAGGACAATAAACGCTGCTTTCATGTAGTTTACATCCTAAAGAGAAGAAAGATAAATTATACAGAACAAATCCACGGATTAAACAGTGTACTGGAAGTGATGCCCTAAATCAGTGGTTCTCGACCTGTGGGTCGTGACCCCTTTGGGGGTCGAACGACCCTTTCACAGGGGTCGCCTAAGACCATCGGAAAACACATATATAGTTACATATTTTTGTGATTAATCACTATGCTTTAATTATGTTCAATTTGTAACAATGAAATTGGGGGTCACCACAACATGAGGAACCGTATTAAAGGTTGGCACCATTAGGAAGGTTAAGAACCAATGCCCTAAATGCTAAGGAGTAGTGGGCTGTGATTAAAATTGGATTATCAGGGAAGGGCTCACAGAGCAGATGGCACCTGTGCAAAGGATGTGAGGGAGAGAGGGTAGACATCTGGATGGATATTTGCAGGAGGGATGACTCTGGTCCAGGAAACCAGTGTCGCTGGAGGAGGGACAGGCGAATATGAGCTCAGAGAGGCCTCAGGGGACAGATCCTATATCCAGAGGATTTTGCCATGAGGTTTAGAGCAATTGGAGGGTCTTGGGCAGAGAAGCATATGATGAGAGTAGTTTTAACAGGATATCCTCATTCTGGCTGAGGCTTTGGAAGTAGCCAGTAGCAGCAGGGGCTCAAGGGTAGAAGCAGGGAGAGCAATGAGAAATGGTGGCAATAATCCAGGTGAGAGATGATGGTGGCAGACCAGCGTGGCATTTGCTATGGAGAGGAGGAGAATTCTGAATATATTTAGAGAAAAGAGTGGCTACTTCAATAGGGAATAAAAGGAGAGTTAAGGAAGGCTCTGGATGTTTTTTCAGCAATGGGAAGGGATGTGGTTACCATTTCCTGAGATGGGAAGACAGGGCAAGTAGCAGGTTTGGGCAGGAAGATCAGGAGTTCAGATTTGAGTGAATTGCGTTTGAGTTGTCTATTATCATCCAGGAGGGAATGCCCAGTTGGTGGTCTCCTTCCCACCTTCCCCTACCTCCCCACTCCCTTATCATTTCAGAGGCTGTAACCTAAATGAAGGTATGCACCAGCCCTCCAGTAACTCCACTGGCTGAGCCTTGCTTTCCATTACTGATTGCTATGTGATCATGTGTGGAGCCCATTTGAGCCATTTGCTTTACCAGACGAAGCCATTTTAGTAATTATTCCAAGGCCTCTATTGGCCAGCTGTGGTCTTTAGCAGTTGGTTGTGAGAGTGTGTAGTTCAAAGGAAAGTCTCACCTTGCAGATACAAATGTGGGCACCACCAACTTGAAGCTGGTGTGTGAAACCATCAGATCAGTAGAAGAGTGAACTTAGAAAGTGTTCAAGAAAAAAAGCTTACAAGCCCCAAATGGCATCACTCTTGCTAAAACCCCACAATAAACCTAGATTTAAATCCTGATCTTACTGCAGTTTCAGTTACTTCTCCCAGAAACATAATCTTTTTTTTTTTATCCTCACCCGAGGATATTTGTTTCCATTGATTTTTAGAGAAAGATAGAAACATGGATATGAGAGAAACACATTGATTGGTTGCCTCCTGCACGTGGGCCCCAACCAGGCCCCTGGCTGGGGAGGAGCCTGCAACCGAGCTAATGCCCTTGACCGAATGGGGGACCCTTCAGTCCGTTCTGTCCACTGAGCCAAACCGGCTAGGGCCAGAAACGATCTTCACCACCCCTATGGAATTTTCTGGTCAAGCAGTGAAGTAATCTGTCACATGGGCCTGCTTTATCCCCCATGGAAAGGAGAGGCAATTTACATAATAAAAACTCTCCCCCCCCAAAAGATGTCCCAGCTGCCAAATAATCCTCCCTTTCTTTCCATAATAGCTCCCTTGCCCCACTCTCCTACCTATGAGACACTTTCATTTTGTACAACGCCTCCCAGTGCCCTTCACTCATACATTACTCAATAAAGCCATTTAGATCTTCAAATTTACTAGGTTGAATTTCGATTTTTAACAAAACAATGTGTATGATTCTTAGCTCACAGGGTGGTATTGTTTGTGAGGATCAAATCGAATGCATACATTAGCAATTAACAAAGGCTTCTATTTTTATTAATAAGCCCACTTGTGGGAGCTTGTCCCTGGGCAACAACATGCCTCATTTTGCTACAAGGACATGTGAATGGTCCACCTCCCGCGTGGTTCAGGGTTTGGGCTCTGGAAGAGGGGCCGCATGCAAATGAAAGAGACAAGAAATAATAATTTGGAAATTGGGGGGCCAGGTGAGAGCCCGTCCCAAGAGGGAGAAATAATTTGGAAATTGGGGGGCCAGGTGAGAGCCTGTCCCAAGAGGGAGGACTCCACTTGTGCTCAGGCCTTGTCGTCCTTTTATTCAGTTTGGGATCCACCTGTAGCCCTGAGGCAGGCAAGTTCCAGTAACAGGCAGACTTGCTCAGGCCTTGTCGTCCTTTTATTCAGTTTGGGATCCACCTGTAGCCCTGAGGCAGGCAAGTTCCAGTAACAGGCAGACTACCTTATCAGTAAGGATTTACATGACTCTCTGGTGGGGAAGTTGCTCCAGCTGCCATTGTCTCCACTAAACAGTGGGTGCCTAGCCCTGACCTTTGCCAGGGCTCAAGGGTCACCAGCATCCGGGCTCCTTGTCCACACCTCTCTGCTGGAGGAGACAATAGGCGGGTTCCCACAACCACACACCTGGAAAGGAGGTCCTGGAAGCAGCAACGACTGGAAGTGGTTGAGATGACTGGCATTTAGAGAGGGATGGCTCTCAGTCCAATCCTTTGAGGCTGAGGCTTGGGGAGGCTAAGCGCCCCAACTGGTGGTCGGATAGAGCTTCCACCATGTCTCCGGGTTTCCTCTCCATGCGCCTGCAGTGCGGGGTGCTCACCCCACCCGCGCGCTGAGCTTCCTCTCCAGCCGGAGTCCCCGTCCCGCGCGTCACCGCACCTCGGCCTCTCCGGTGTCTACGTTCCGGGAAGCTCCCGCCTCCAGCTGGCCGCGCTGGTGCGAGTGTCCACGCGGAGGCAGGGCTGGCCGAGCGGGCAGTGGCGTGAGAAGGGGAGGCGGTGGACCTGGACCG